CTGTGCACGTTGGGTTTGGGGGGCCAGTTCTTATCCGTGTCCTGCTTCTCGTGTACCTGGTAATCTTTGATGGTCACAGCATGAAGCACTGGGCAGGACACGAGGTGTCATGGTGAATCCTCCAGCAGCAGCACATGGCAGCTCTTGTGAGCACAGGGACCTCTCTGTGTCTTACTCAATTCTGGGACCCCAGCACCCAGCACAGATCCCGGCATATGCAGGTGTCATAAACATTTGTCACATGGAAAAAGAAAACAGGAAGTGGCACAACCAACCCGTGAGACATCTTTCTGACCCCCAAGCCTGAGCCCTCCTGTCTCCAGGGCAGCAAACCTGGGTTCACGGGAATGGCACCAGTTGAGATTCAGGATGTCTGGCTTCTGCCGCCGATTGTAGGGACACTGCTTGGGCCAGCCCTCTCCTCTCCCCGGGCCTCGACCTCCCCATCTGATTCGAGTCATGGGAGAAGTCCTGGTGGCGCTGGAGGAAGTTGAGACGCTGTCTCCCAAACCCCAGGGCGTCTCTGGCCTTGAGTTTGGTTTCTGAGTCTGAGCCACAGTGAGAGGAACTGAAGGAGACACTTGGATGTCCAGCAGGTGGCGACTTTGGCTCTTCTCATTTTCTGTCTCCAAGTTGTACCAGAGCCCTGGGCACTGTGGTTCAGACGCATACACACTTTAGGATCCATCTTTATGGGATCAACTCAAAGGGTAAGCTAGAAACCAACCGTAGGTAGGGGGCTCTGAGTTAATATTGGGAACGGAGGGGCTACTCTGAGACAGGCCGCACAACTCCAAGAGGATGATCAAAGGCGTTCACTGTACACGGGGAAACTTGGTGTGTCTTTGGCATGCATCTTCTCAACAGCAATAACCAATAACACACATTCCTGAAAAACACACACACACACACACACACACACACACACACAGCACTCAGAACTGCCACCCCCCAATACCCAGGAAGTGTTTTGTTTCTTCTATTACATACTTAAACATTTATAATTTGTATGTTTTTATGCAGACTGCAGTTGGACTTGGGAACAGTTGTGAAGATGACATGGGGATTCCATATATTCCACTCCTAGCTTGTCCTCCGGGTCACTATGAGTTGATCACTCGGCGGCACCTCACAGCAGTTTTCCCTGTTACTACGTTTTACAAGAGCATGACACCTGTGTTGAATTAGAATTATCAAGATGGAGAAATCATTGAGCCCTGGCAGTGCAGCAGATTAAGAATGGGGCAGCTAATGGGGGAGGGAAGTGCTTCCAACCCCAGGGAGAACGATGAGGCCGTTTGCCTCAGAAACTCGCAGGGGCAGTTCTACCTTGTCCTATCACGTTGCTACGAGTTAGCATCCACCTGACGGCAGTTCTTTGGGGGAGTTTTGGGGTTACGTGTTGGGCTGTGTGGTGGTTACATCATCCCATGTCAACTTGAGGGTATTAATAGTGAACGGGTGGAGTCTAGCCTGTCCATCGGGTCATAGCCTGATGATGCCTCCTGGTGGGCGTGGCCTTCTCCTGAGGATTCTGGGAACTTCCTCTCTTCTCCATGGAGGTGGGACACACTCCTGCTCTACTTCACCTTCTTGTTGAGCAGCCACACTCAGGGTGCTGGAGGAGCCACGTGGAGACCCAAGCCCGCACTGAGATGCTTCCACCAACATTGGATCCACAAGACTTTCCACCCACCAGCCTGTGATCTTCCCCCATTCAGTATCACTGCATGTGCTGTGTGAGTCTCAAGAAGAATTTGTGGACTCGCATCGGACATATGGGTTAATATCAGACTTAGGAACTTGATTCGGACTTGGCTGGGATGTTTTCTCAATATACAGTTGCTCTTTGATATAGAGCTCTGTCTCATACACATATGAATGCCTCTGAATTTGTTTCTCTAGTCAACCCAGACTAACAGGCTGTTAACTTCAAGGTCAGCAGTGGAACTGCACCAGCTGCTCTTCGGGAGAGAGAGGAGACAGTCTCCTCCCTTAATGATTGACAGCCTTGGAAATCCCAGGGAGAATTTCAACCCCTCGGAAAACCCATGGGGTTGCTGTGAGTCAGAGGTCACTCAATGGGAGCTGGCTTGGTTTGTGGGGAAAGGCGGAAGTTTTCTACTTCCGTGAAGATTTATAGTCTCGGAGACCCACCAGGGCAGTTCTACTCTGTCCTACAGGGCTGCCTTGAGTCGGAGTCAGTAAGTTTGGCTTTTCTTGGTTTGCAGCTTGTCCTTGATTCATTCAAGGAGTCGGTGACACCATGTTTAAGTGCTCAGCTATGACTGAAAGGTGGGTGGCTCGAAGCCACTCAAAGACTTGGGAGAAAGGCCTGTGAGCTGCTCCCTGGACAGGACAACCTGGGAAACGCTATGGAGCAGCTGGACTGCGTCCTGCGGATCCCGCCGCCAATGCAGGATGTGCTCCGAGAGGCTCAACAACAATAAGGACAACATCCTTCCGACTTTCTTGGACTTTTGTTTTGTTCTGTCCTTTTTCTGTCCCAAGAGGCCATCCAGGACACCAGATTATCTTTTGTCTCATGTCCCCTCCAGCTCCCGTTGGTGGTGACAGTTGACTGCACTTTCTTTCTGATGCCCCAAGCTGTGGTGAGCTCACGGTCACTGAAGTTTCTAAACGGAATCTAAACGTGGCAATCCTCTGCTCTGGGGACGCCGGGAGAAAGGTGCGTGGCTGCCGATGATTTTCTACTTAGATCTTTAGCCGGTCCCCATCGTCTCCTGTTTCCAGAGTGACCGCTGTGTGCCAGCCAGGGGCCTGCTGCCAGGCTGCTGCCCAGTGAACCCAGACGAAGGCTCTCTGAGGAGCCCTGGTGGTGTCGTGGTCATGTGTTGGACTGTGATCTGCATGGTTGGCCATTTGAAACCACCAGCAGCTTGGCGGGACAAAGACTGGGCTTTCTACTTCCGTCAACAGCTACCGTCTCAGAAACCCACAGGGGGTCGCTATGAGTCCGCATTGAGTGGATGAGTTTTGGGTTCGAGGGCCCTTTGGGGCCTTCCACTCCAGCTCTTGGGCCCAGGTTGGAAAGCAGAGGGCAAGCCTTCACCCTCTTGACCTAGCCAAGCTGGACAAAGGTAACAGGTTCTAGGAACAGGCTCCTCCGTCCTGGGACCTCTGAGAGGTGTGGCCAGGAGCTAGGGGATTTGGCCTGAGAGGAGGTTTAAAAAACATCCATTCAGACTCTGAAATTCAGCCCCTGGGTTTCCCTGGGGGAAGACTCGGATTTGAAGAAGGGCAAAATTCCTCCCACCCTTCCTCCCACCAAACTGCCTTTGAATTCAAGTGAGAAACTATCCCTGTCCGGTGCTTCTCAACTTCAGGCACCCCATCCAATCCTCACAGGATCGGTGGGAGCTTAATGCCATTACTGTCCGTCCTAGATGCTCTGGCCACGCTTTGCAAATAACTGGCAAGAGACAATCCTTGTCTCTAAGCCCTTCTGTCCCCTCATTTTTATTTTTTCCCCTCTCGACCATATCCTGGTCATACTTATTGGATCTTGAAGCATGATGGAAAGCAGAGTTTGGGAAATGTTTCCCTCTAGTCCCACTAAGCTTTCTTCTGCTCAGAAGCTTGGCATCTGTTCCAGTTTGCAGACCTGGGAGGGCTTAAAGGAGGGTGCCCCAGGGCCCACACTTGGAAGCAAAAGGCTCCTGGCCCCCCCACCAGCCTGGCCCTCTTGGGCATCTTAGTGAGATGGTGTAGATGCCAGGTTCATGGGCATCTGTGGTGCAGGAGACAGCCGAGGGCTTGGACATAGATGAGGTGGGTGTGCTGCCCACTGTGGGGGCAAATGGCCTTTCACACCATCCTCAGTGAAACGGGGCTGAGCCACCTGCCCCCAGCATGCACCGCAGTGATTGAGTGAGGGGGTCAGCTGACAAGCTCCCTGCAGGGATATTGGAAGGCTATTGACTTAATTTCCAGGGAAGAATCTACGGGACCCTGGAGGGAGGATCCTTCCTTCTGTGCAGAAACAAGCTGAAGAAACGTACCATACTCCATCCCTCGAACCCATCTTCGGAACCAAAGCCAAGAATCCCCTGATCCCTCTCCCTCTGAGCTCTGCACCCCTGGGGCAGGGCGGGGACTCCTCCCGACAGACAGCCCTCCTGCTGGACGCTGAGAGGCCCGGAAGACAGTCTACGTGGTGCCTGTTTCCGCTCCAAACAGCCCCGGACATCTAGTAGAGGGGAGCCCCGCAGGACGAGCTCAGATGTGGGCTGAGTCAATGGATGAAGACGCCGCCCCCACCCCTCCTGCCCCACAGGCTGTCAGCAGCTCCAACCCCGGGCCCCCCCTGACCTGCTCCCCACAGCACGAGACACCAGGGGTACCCAAAAGGCAAACTGGACTTTATTATAAAGTTGGCTACAAAGTCACCGCAGCACCTCAAGGTGGCCGCCGGGGCTGCCGGGTGAGCCCCGCACCAGGTGCACGCACTCGCGCAAGCACACGTGCGTGGGCAGGTCTGCCTTCCTCCGTCGGAAAGGAACGTAACATAGTAGTGTCTCTTCGCGCCCCCCACCGGAGGCGCGGGGTGCAAGAGTTACTGGAAGGGGCCGCCAGGGTGGCGGAGTCCATCGGAATTGAAATCCCGTTACTGGTGTGTAGAGAATTCTACGTGGGTGTCAAGAGCCCCTCGGGGCACAGGCTGGCCTGGTGGCCCTGCCTTTCCCCCACGAGGCCCAGGGGTGGCCCCCAGGAGTGGAGAACTGGCCCAGGCCCATGGGGCAGCGCGGGCTGGAGGGAAGTGACACTCCCCCATTCTCCGCTGGAAATCCCATTCAAGGAAACTCACTACGAGTGAATACGGATTGAAATGGACGCTGGGATCGCTCAAAAGTCTCTGGATTTTAAAAAGAAGCTCCCCTCCCATGCCCTCCCCCCTCCCCCCCCTGCCAGATCCTGTGGGGCCTGGGGAATCAGATACATCCCCCTCTGGCCCCCAGAGTCCCCCCAACAGTCCCGGGGGGCGGGGTGGAGAGCGGCTCCACGTCTTGATGACAATATGCCATACTGACGACTTTAAGTCACAGACTTATTCAAACGTTGGTTCCCCTCCACTTCCATCTGCAGAGAGAGAGAGAGAGGAGGGGCGACGGTCAGGGATCCTGATGGGACAGAGGGCCCGAGGCCCAGCACATGGTGCAGTGCTGACCACCCCCCCCCCCACCTCCAAGCTGAATGCTCACGGGTAGGGGGACAATTTGGACAGATGGAGTAACACCATGCTGTACTTCTGGAAGAGTCTGGGCCATAATCAGGGAGTCCACGAGGGGATAAATCCCACCTTCTTTCTCCATCCCCACCCCCCATTCCTTACAACCTCATGCTCTGGGTCCCCTTTAAGGGGCAAGAAGAGTGACCAGAGCTCCAACTCTCTCCCATCAACGTAGTGGGTGACCTCAGGTAAGTTTCTTTAACTCTGGGACTTTGAGTGTTCTGGTCCATAAAGTAGAGATACACTCACAGGGTTAAGAAGTACCCACTGTCACAGGCCCTCCATCCACCTTCCAAAACCCTGCCCCCTCCCTGGGCCAACTTGTCCAGAACATTCATCTTAAGATTTTCATTTGTTCTCCTCCCGGGGCAGTGGGTGGGGCCATCATTCCGTTTGTTAATAAACTTGAGGCACAGAGAAGGGAGCTGACTAGACCACTGAATGAGGGCATCTAGCATCTTATTGGTAGCACAGGGACTTGCGTCCCTGGGTGTTTGGGCCACACTCACCTTCGTGGAAGCTGTCTTGAACTTGGCTCTGGAGTTGATGCAACTCATCGGTAAACCCATCGTAGGGGAATGCTGAGACACCTGTCTCAAAGGCGGTTTCGTAAGTGGCCAGGTCCTCCAGGAAGCTGTGGTCTTCTGGGGACAGGTGGTTGCAAGGTGACAGGGCCCCTCCTGGGCCCGCTGCCTCAGGACTCTCCGAACCCCACTCCCCATTGGGGGCTGAGGTGGAGAGATCCATGAAGATGTCTTCCACGGGCATCTCTTCTAGGAACAGGTCATCAGGGGCCGCCAGGAAGTCCAGCTCCTGGCATTTCCAAGGTTTCAGGTCCAGGCTGAGGATAGGGGGGCCAGCCCCTGGCAGGGATAGGTTGGAGTCCAGGGGCTCCAGCCCGCCAAGTGGCTCCAGCCCGCCGGTGTTGGCTTCAGCCGAGAAGGGCCTGTCCATGCCCTGAGCCAACTGGCTGATCTGGTGGATGAGACGGTCGATCTCACTCTGCTCCTTCTCGGAGTAGTGGAAGAAACTCTGCTTCACAGGAGAGGCCTCTGGTGTAAGGAGGCCTTCAGGCACCAGGGGGACATCCACAGAGAGGGGGCCCCGGAGCTGAGCCAGGGCCAGGAGCGTGCAGTCCCCATTACCAGGGCTGCTAGGACTCGGGGGCAACTTCTCATAGAGAAAACTGCATCCCTCCTGGGCGAAGTAAGTCTTGGTGGGGTTGGGACTCAGCTGCTCCGGGAACGTTTGGCTGGGGCTGCTCAGGTGGGCTGGGAAGGCTGTGCTGGGAGGAGTCAACTGCTCCTGGGCCGGACCACCCTGGGGCTCTGGGAAAGTGGCAGTGCCGGGCAGCAGCTGCTCGGGAAAGGTGGAGGTGCAAGGAGTCAATTGGTCTTCGTAGCTTCTGGCCGAGGCTTCCGTGAACTGGCCCCGGAGTGGGCTGCTGAGCGGATCTGGGAAGGTGGCACTGCTGGGTGTCAGCTGCTCTGAGAGACCGGCTGTGCTGGGAGTCAGCTGTTCTTGGAGAGAGCTGGATGGGGTGGGCAGATGTGTCTGGAAGGGTTCGTGGAGGCTGAAGAGGAAGGCGCAGCCTCCCGGCTGGCGGGGTGTGTAAGGTGGGGTGCACACGAGGTCCTTGCTCAGCTCGGCTTGGAGAGAAGCCTCAGGCCCAGCAGGGAAGGTCAGGTAACTGAAGTCCAGCTCTTTGGGGGGCCTTGGAAGTTCTTCGGATGCTGAGACAACACCCAGTTCAGGAGCACCAGGGAAGGTGGCTCTTCCGGGAGCCCCCAGGGGTGGCGTGAAGAGTGGATTAGGGCTGGAACATTGCTCCTGAGAGTGGATGCCTGCAGGGAATGAGGGCACAATGGTGGGGGTGCCCAGGACGTAGGGGGTTGGGGTGTCTTCAGAGTTCAGCTGCTGGCGGAGGCTCCAGGCTTCTGAGTCACTAGAGGGGAGAGAAGGGGCAGGTGGTGAGGGTTTGATGTTGGCTCCTGGGGCAGTCCCTGCTTTGTGTCTCCTTCAAACTGCCCACCCACCTCAAGGCCCCTGCTTTTCAGCTTACCTGATTGGATAGTTGTTGGCAGTAATGGGGCCCTCCGGACCATCTAAGTACAACAGGCAGTAAATCCAGGCCCAGCCTCCGGATTTGGCCTGCAGTCTGACCACCATTTCTGCCTGGATATCTCCACTCTCAGCCACTGGGGAGGAAGAAGAGATTCAGGGTTAGGACACCCATTGGAAAACATAACCCGACCCCCGACCCCCACTTGGTTCACCTCTCCGCTGGGCCGAGGTAGCTATGACACCCTCTGCTCTGACTACCCTACCCTGACTGCAACACTCCACTCCCCAACTTGACCTCACCATTCCGGATCCCCCAGTTTCAGCTCTTGTTTTATCCTTGTGCTCACCCTATAGCACCCCAAACTACTGGCCTCTCCCCAACACGAGTCTCGACTCTGGCTCATCCCTGATCTTCTCTTTCATGCATGTCCCAGGTCCCTATCTCCCCGCCCCACCAGGCTCTCTGGACACTCACACAGTCGGTAGTGTTGAGCAGAAGCATGGGCCAGGTCCTCAGGGTGCAGCAGTCCATACCATGATTTACAGAGAAGTTCACTGCGCTCAAAGCCCAGGTAGATTAGGACACTGGGAAGGTGGAAAGGGTGAGGTCAGCTTACTGTTTCACCTGATGGATACCCAGACATCTCAGTCCCTCCCAGGTTATCTGCCCCTCTAGACACCATCCTCCCTGCCCCTGACTCTCCAGAATCTAGGGATCCCCTTCTGTCTGGCCTGCCTTTCCGCCTCCCCCCCGCCCCCACCTGGAGTCGGAAGTCTCTGGGCTTACCTCTCAGAGATGTCCAGCAGAGCCAGGTCCTTGGAATGGCGACTTTGGAACATGGCCAAGAAGAGTGAGGCAGGGCCAGGGCCAAGGCCAGGGCGGGGCCTTGGTTCCAGTGGAGCACAGAAAGCTGTGAACACGGGGTTTCCTGCCCAGTAGGCCCCAGGAGGGTGAGCGTGGAATCGGCCTCGAATAAGCACCAGCTTGTTGCCTGCACTCTGGCGCCTGAGGGACTTGGAAGTGTTGAAACGACAGCGGAAGAGGCGATCTAGGTAGATGAAGAGACACACTGTTGAGAGGGTGGGCGGGGAGGAGCTAGGTAGCAGGTCGGAGATGGGACTGAAGAAGGGAGTCCTCACCAGTGTCCAGGGCGGAGGGCAGAGTGATTTGCTGGCGCACGGTGAGGTGGTCAGCTGGGTCAATGATGTCGTAGATACTGTCACCCTGGGCAACCAGGTCCACCTGAAGAGAGAAAAGCAAGAGACGAGACTTAGCCCCCAGCCTCTTGCAGAGGTAATTCCCCTGTCCATTGCTCCCTGGTAATTCCCAGACCAACGCCGCCGTGGAAACCTTACTGCCCTTCCTCCCCCACCTCCACCATCCCAGCCTGATCCGAGGGCTCTCAGCACTTACCATGGAGTGACCCAGGTGCTCGCTCACGCTCTCAGACAGGTACAGCAGCTTCCCCTCCGCCGTGAACACAAGCAGGAAGCCAGGCAGCGCAGCCACGATGTCTTCAAGCTCCTGAGCTGAGAGAAGCCCCGTGGGGCCTGCCAAAGGAGTGCCTGCCGGGCAAGAAGACAGGTAAGTCAGGAGTGAAGACTGGGAGGCAGAGCAGAGGTGAAGAAAGCATCGGTTGAGTTTCGCAAGGGAATGGGTTATAGACCTGTCCCCACCCCCAACCCCTGCACACACCTGTTGACCCACTGCCCTCAGCTCTTGGCCCGGGAGCCTGTTGCTGGATCGCCCCAGCCAGTGAACCCATCCACTTCCAATGGGTAGCCAGCCCCGACCGTCAGCACCGAGGACAGCGCCCGAGACGGCACGGTCTCTCAGCACCGCGGACAGCTCCACGGGGTTACGCGGGCATTCAGCACCGCGGACAGCTCTTAGGCGCCGGCGGGAAAACCCCTTTCAAGCCTAGCGAGTAGCCTCCTCGCTTGCTTCCTAGGGCTTGGGCGGCTCCGTCCCTGCAACTTCCCAGGGCTACCGGAGCGCCTCCGCGCTCATGAGTACCGGGGCCATTCAGTGCTGGCTCCTGCACTCCCAGAAGTCTGATACCAGGGTTTCCGACTCTCTCGCCCTCATCTAGGACTAAGATGAGCACTACGGAGCACAGGGGCAGGGGAGTGGGGCCAGGTCTACTCGGGAGTCGAAAGTCCCGAACCCTCCCGTGCTTCTCTCCCCAGCTCGCCAACACGCTGCCCTAGACCTGCGGCAGCGTCCTCGGGCTCCCTCAGCCCAGCCGTCCCCAGCACCCGCCAGCCCGGCTCTTCTGCAGCCCCAGAGGCTCACCTCCGGCGAAGAAGACGCCTTTGCGAGTGTAAATGCAGGCGAGACTCATGATGTGGAGGTAGGACAGCCGGACCTTGTCCGTCTCGGCCAGCGGCAGCAGCTCCTTCAGGTTCCGGATCTCCGCGTTGATCTGGTCTCGGCGAGCCTTGGACGCGCCCTTGGTGGAGCGGTACATGGCTGCCGGCCGCAGGGCTCCAGCTCGGGCGCCCGAGCACCTGCGTTCCCGTCCCGACGCGCCGGTGGCTTCCTCCTCGCTTTCCCGTCTCTCGCTCCGGCTTGCTCGCGCTCCGCTCCGCTCCTCTCCTCTCCTGGGCTCCGCTCGGCTGCGCTGCCCCCCTCGCCTGCCAGGTTCCGCCTTATATAGCTCCTGCCGCGCGTGGGGGGCTCGCTGTAGAGATGGAGGGGGCGGGAAAGCGGGAGGCTGGGCTAAGCAAGCTGCAGCGGGAGCCACTTGCTGGGGAAGGGGGGGGCACGCTCCTCCTCCCTCCCAGGCTTCCGACGTCATCCTGTGACGTCGAACGGGAATGGGAGGGGGACCAGGAGCGGGAGGGGGCGGGGAGAGAAAGGAGGCTGCAGAGGGGGGGCACCGCGGGCAGGAGCTGAGAAGAACAGGCGCTGCATTTGGGGAGTCCTGAAAGGGGATGGGGGTCTCAGGTGTCCGAGTGAAGCGACCTGAAGTCTCTGGCCGAGGAATGTCTTGGGGCAGAAGCAAGGAGCGCTGGTTCTGACATGGGTTTTTCTGGGGAGATGCTGGTCCATTAACGCCCCCCCCCATGTATATACACACACACACAAAACAAAGGTCACGTGGGCATGTGGGGGGTCCTCTTCCTTAGGGTCCGTTTGTCTCTGGGGCGGGGAGGTGTTACTCCGTCCGGGATTCCCCAGGCTACTTTTCAAAGATCAAAGCCCCCTTTGCCCTTCTCAAACGCAGGTCTTAGCGATTTAGGGGGTGGAGGGCTTACACGGAGGCCTGTGTCCTAGGAGGGGGTGGCCAAGGGTCCTGGGGGAGAGGGATTAATTGAAGTTGGCCTTGGTACCATTTCCCCACCTCCCGGCCCAGTACCACCACCGGAATTCCTGCAGTGATCTTTCATGCCCCTGTCACTTACTGGACCTCGGCCACTGACAGGGGAAACTGAGGCAGGGAGGGGGGAGGGCCCAGCGGGAATCTGGGTCTGCACCTGAGCACCCCTTCCCCCCAGTTGTCAGCCCCCGGACGAGCGGTTCCCCCCTCCCCAGCAGCACCTCCCGCTCGCCAGCCTCCATCTCCAAGCGGGCTGGGGGCGGGGGCGGGGCCGGGGGAATCCCAGCTCCTTATTAGGGCAGGAATCCTCGGCGGCTGCGGCGGCGGCAGCGGCGGCGGCAGGCGGGGCCTGCTGCCTGCGCACCGCTCCGGAGGACTCCCCCCTCCCCACTGCCTCCCGCGGGAGGACAGAGACGCAGCCGGGAAGAAAGGAGGCCATGCTGGGTCCTCAGCGACCCCTGCATCTGCCAAAGACCCCTCAACTCCGCCAGGCTGTACTCTACGCCCTCCTCCCCCTTGGTATCTATGGGGATGACTCCTCCCTGGTCTCTTGGCTTTCAGCTCTCCATCTTGCCCGCCCCCTCGTTCCTTTATTTCCTTGCCCGCTTGGTGGTCTTAACTCGGCACGCCCCCTCCCCGCAATTCTGCAGCATCGCGTCTCCATTCTTCTCGTTGCCAGTTTCTCTCTCTCTTTCTCTCTCTGAAGAAACCCGGGATCGAACCAGGGACTCTTTGCCAGTTTTGACTACGCATCTCTGCCTTTACCTGTCTCCACCTGTCTTCTGCCTTTCCTTAGCGCACACCAACACTTGCCTCCCTACCCCCACCATGGGAAACACCTGTTCTTTCCCACCCTAGTACAAGAGGGAGAAGGAGCTGGGTTGGGGGAGACACTTTCTCAGAAATATCATTTGATGGGTTGGGGCTAAGACCATTTAAAAAACCGGGGGAGAACTTTGACTTTGAAAGTCTTATCAGAGGGCAGAGGTGAACTTTGACATCAAGAAAAACTTTGGGATCAAGAAACTCCCAACGCCTCGTGGAAAAGGTGGCAGCGAGAGAGTGGGGTGGGGTGGGCAGGGCCATAAGGAGAAGGGGGTCTGAACAGAGGGTTCTGTGCAGACCCTGCCCTGTGCCATCTGGCTGAGGCCGGACCACCCACTCCCACCATACTGTACTCCGGGGTACAACTGAGGTGGAGGGGAGGTAGAGGGTGTGGACCACCAAGAGAAGTGCCCACCCACTCCTGAAGTTCCCACTGACCCTCCCCACTTCTGTTCAGACGACCCTTGGTCTTAGGACCCCCACCTGGTATGCAACTCCAGGGAAAAGTTCGTTTTCCCCCTTCACTCAATGCCATTTGTCAGGTCCAGGCTGGGGGGCCTGTCTGAAGGCCCCTCTCCACGCTAAGTGGAGTGTGTGGTCTGCGGGGCAGCTTCTTGAGCAGAGATCCGCAGGGAAAGACGAAGTCCCTGGCCTCTGTCCGTGGTGCTGAAAAGTTCACTGTGGCGGGTGGCAGGGGGAGCTAGAATGGTCTTGGTCTGCCTTAGACATCGCATCACAGGAGCCTCAGGGTGAGAGCTTCTTGGGGCTCGTTCCCTGCCCTCGGACCCTGGGTATGAGAAGGGAGGGTCTGGCCGGAAGACAAGATTCCTGGGTTTAGGAGAAAGGTAGAAAGGTAAGCATGGTGGGGGGGGGGATTGGCTCAGGAGAACAGCCTTTGGATTTTTCCAGGAGGATGGCACTGGCAGGGAAGAAGGCTCGAGAAAGGGACGGGTGGGTGGGTAGAAAAGGGTTCATCCTAGTTTTGCCACTCTGATTCAAGTTGAGAATCTCTCTATGCCCCAAAAGTCTCCTCTCCCCAGGCCAGCTCCCACCCTCCCTTGCCTCCCACCTCCATGAAGCTATTTTTAATTGCGCAGAACCAAAAATAGCTTGGCAGCAGCTTCAGGCTGTGGGAGAGGAGCTATTTATATCACCAGTGACGGTTCCGAAATAGCAAGCAGGAGGAGGGGGGCGGCTGGCACGCTAGAGAGCTCCTGGCCGCTGCTAAAAATACTGGCAGGATGAGTCATCGCAGCCTGGCTGAGTCACCCTGTTCACCCTCCCCGTGGCAGGCGCAGAAGCAGAACAGGCTAAGGAACTGGAACCCTGAGGTGGGGGAGGCACCGAGCAGGGTGCTGTGGGAAAGTGGGCAGGGGGTGAATTGGGAGAGGGGCTTTGGGGTGAGTGTGCAGGTGGAAGGGGAGGAGAGAGCAGGAAGCACCCAGGCAAGTCCACTGGGTAAGCTGGCAGCACTTCCAGCTTTGCACCGTGGCTCAGAGATGCTTGAGCAATTGCTGGGAGGGAAACAGATGTGTGTGTGTGTGTGTCCATTCAACTGTTTGCATGTTTCTGTGTGTCTCATCTGAACATGTGACCGTGTTTGTATGGCTGCATCCGTGTGTCTGCCTGCACATGTCTTTGCAGCTGTGTCTCCATCCCTGTTAGGACCAGATTTTAACATTGGTACAGCGGGACACCATTGATAGAACTCATATCCTGGCGAAATAGCCACATGGCAGCCGAAAACCATATGCCCTAGCTTGTCGTGCATTCTTTCCAAAACTTGGGACTTTTTAAAAACACCGTGGGACATGGGAAAAATTGTTAAAAAGCGGGACTGTCCCGCCAAAAGCGGCACGTCTGGTCACCTTATGTTAGGTGTTTGCCTATGGTTGCATTCTTGTCTGTCCGTAATGCCTCCGGCCGGCGCTCAGCAGAGCATGTAGTTCTGTCTGTGCCTGTAGGTGTTTAGATGAGGGGATGTCAAAACCTGAGTGGGAAAATTCCATCTCTCTTCATTCCATTTCCCATGAGCTTTTTGAAGCTCCATGGCATGCCTGCCTGCAACTTTCTGTGTGTGTGTGTGTGTGTGTGTGTGTGTTCATATTGGAGCCTAGCTCTATGGCTTTGCCTCTCAGTATCTGACTGTGTGTATGTGGTTTTGCATGTGTGCCCAGCCTCAACACACTGTCTGCTGCCCTCCCTGATAGCGCTTTCTGAATTTTTGCATTGTCTATCCATGCTGACCTCTCTTCCCGTTCAGCATCTCCCCTCTTTTCCAGCCCTCGGCCCACAAGCATTTGAGAAGGTCTCTTTTGTCCCATGCAATTTACTTACTGGGTCAAGGGATAAAGAATGGAAGTCCCATCTGACCTCTCCCCCACCCCCTCGAACCATCTTGAATCTTCCCTGATCTGCAGGAGCTCCATATTTGGGGAGCTGAGAGAAGAGGAGGGCCTTCTTTGGTTATAAAAAAACATTCTTGGTGTGGGCATAGGCGTGTGCAGAGCTCATACACAGACACAGACACACACACACACACACAACTGAGAGAATGAGAGAAAGAAAAAAACATCAAGGTCCCTTTACAGAGAGAGCTCTTGCCTCTGTTGCCATGGCAACCCACCCACTCCTTCCCTGAAAAATCACCAAGAAGAAATGATGGCATAGAAAAGGGATTGGCTGGTTTCTTTCTTGATTATTTTTCCCCAAAAAGGGCTTTTTTAGCAAGAACAAGCCATGAGATCCCTTGCCCCTGTCTTGCATAGCTTTTATGGGGACCTACAGGGACACCACTTCTCCACCTTGATCTGAGAAGAGGAGGTGGATCTTCTGTAGAGATTTTTGGGGAGGATGCCCTCCCGGGAGGGTGTCTGATTATCAAGAATAGCAGAGCAACTCCTGGAGATGTGGGGCAAGGATCTTGACAGGGGGCTGTCAGGATTTTGTCTCGCTCTGAATGAATGTGTCTGAGAAAGGGAGAGAACAAAGGGAGAGAAAGAACGTGGGGAGAAGAGAGAGGTAGAGAGAGACAGGAGAGAGACGTGATGGTCTTCGGAGAAGACAGCTAGGTGACAAAGAATCCCAAGCAAGCTCTCGGGGCAGTCAGATCAGAAAGAGGGCCGAGATGACTCAAGAAGGATTCACTGGTGCAGCTGTGGCATCGTGGCCCGAGTCCCAAGGAAGCAGGGGCCATCGGTGAACGTTCTAAGGGGAACCCAACTCACCTTTCTTAACTCTAATCCCAGTCCGCGTTTCAAAGGCCTCCTTCAAAGCCTGGACACCTGCCACTGTGGCCACACCCCTTTCTCAAGGGAGCCCAG